GAAAATGCAGGACACATCACGAATAACCACAGAAATGTTTTTTTGTTTGGACTCCTTCTGTCCCCTTATTGTTCTCAGTGTACAAGTCCAGTGAAGGTCTGACTGACAAGTCCAGAATTGGAGCATGTAGTCTTATGTGATTTTCAGTTCATTCAGAGCTGTAGTTCTGAAGCCAGGTGTGGTGGAGCACACCTTTAATCCCAGCACTAAGTTGTAGTTACTTTATTGAACCTCATTGTGTTGTAATTTTTTTTTTAATAAGCAGCACACAAGAGGAAAACACTATGCAACACTGAGTTCAAGCAGAGGGTTTTTTTATTAGGAGAAAGGGTTCGTAAAATGGGGGAAGGGGAGCAGGGGAGACTGGCCTCTGGGGACAGGAGTAGCAGGAGAGAGGAAAGGGGAGGGGGGACAGACAGAGAGAGGGGGAAGAGAATGGGAGGTAGGCAGGGCCCTTTTAAAAGGGAGCTTCGTGACTGCACAGGACAGGCCAGTACTGATGCTTGAATACTAACACATTGGGCCTTGGCCTGTAGGGGCCGGCTTTGCTGTCTGTCTTCTTCCTGTCCTCTTCCAATCTCTGGCTGCCCTCTCTGGCTTCCTTCCCTTGGATAGCTATAGAGGAAGACAAGGAAAATCTGGGGGAGTGTTGCACTCTCTGGATTCTGCATGTGTTTAAAGTTGACTCTTGGGGTGCTCCTGTGGGCATTCAGCAGGCTCCTGCTTGCTCATCTTGGCTGCCTCACCTCAGTCTTAGTGTTCATTTCCACAGCTCCCAGAAATCTGGATGTCTGCTTTTGCTTTTGGAGACTGAGGGCCCTCTCTGTGAACCCTCTAGGCCAGTGGTTCTCAACCTGTGGTGTGGGTTGCAACCTGTGGGTTCCATTATGATTCATAACAGTAGCAAAATTACAGTTAGAAAGTAGCAACAAGGCCTGGCGTTGGTGGTGCACACCTTTAATCCCAACACTCGGGAAGCAGAGGCAGGCAGATCTCTGTGAATTCAAGGCCAGCCTCGTCTACAGAGTGAGTTCCAGGACAGCCTCCAAAGCAATACAGAGAAACCCTGTTTCGAAAAACAAAACAAAACAAAAAAAAGGAGCAGCAACAAAATAATTTTGTGGTTGGGGGTCTCCGCATTAAAGGGTCTCCGAATTAGGAAGGTTGAGAAACACTGATCTAGGCAGATGTGTGGGTGAAGGAACTAAAAGAATATTCCTTAGCTCATTTGTGGAAGTGTAGGCCAGCCCACATGCAGCCCTCCTGCTATGGCAGCCCATCTCACGGTGTCTGCATTATTTGAAAGCCAGCCTGGAGTGAGAGACAAGGCAACATACCCAGCCTTCCAGAGATGTGGGGTTCATAACAGTTCTTGTCAAAGGAGTTTTTCAAACTGTCTCTTCATCTCTGACAACTGAGATGGCTCAGTGGTTAAGAGTGCTTGCTGCTCTTGGAGAGGACCTGAGTATGGCTCTCAGCACCCACATTGGGTTGCTTACAGCCACCTGCAACTCCAGCTCCAGGGGATCTAATGCCCTCTTCTGGCCTCCTCAGATACCTGCAAACAAGTGCTCATACAGACACAAAGACAGACAGACAAACAGACAGACAGACACACACACACACACACACACACACACACACACACACCCGTCCTATCAGTGCCCTCTGACTGTAACATCCAGGTGCCTGTCTTAATTGCCTCACAGAATGACTCTGTGGTTTTGTTTTTTTGTTTTTTTTTTTTTTTTTTTTGGTTTTTCAAGACAAGGGTTTCTCTGTGTAGTACCGACTGTCCTGGAACTTACTCTGTGGCCTCCCAAGTGCTGGGACTAAAGATATGTACCAGCAGATTCTCTGTGGTACTTTTTGGTGTGCATGAATTCTCTCTCTTGACCATTCGCTGCTTATTAAAATTTGAGTTCCTCGAAAGCCTTGTTGCCTGGCCTTTTCTGTTCTGAGTTCGGGTCTTGGTGTTTTATTTTGGCCTCCGAGTGAGCCAGACCAGCTGACAGCCTCATTCATAAAACACCTTACTTTGGCATAGACACACACTGCTACCGTTGAGCAGTGGTGGGAGCCACAACTCCATAGCACTTCTGTCATTTTCCTTGTGCAAAAAAAAATTTTTTTTGAGGCCACAGAGAATATTCTTGAAGTGAAACAGCTAGGGTTCTCCTGCTTTACTGTATGGAAACTCTGAGCCATGAATCCTGTGCTTTGTATTTCATTTGAGCTATGGAAAATCTTGGGGACAGATCTGCAATCTGCAGTAACAGGGCCCAAGGACATCCACTCACGGCATGCTCCCCTCCCCTCAGCTCCACTTGACTGTTTCCCCGCCCAGTCCTTTCTGGAAGCCCATGGTCTACACGATGTTTACAACTGTGTGTTAGTTAATTTTCAGTTGCTGTGAGAAAACGCCATAACCAAGGCAACTTACGGAGGGAAGATCAGAGTCTGTCATGGAGGTGCATGGCAGCTAGAGATTGAAGCTGAGAGCTCACGGATTCAACCTTCAGCAGGAAGCACAGAGGGCAGAGCCCACTCCCAGTGATGCCCCTCTTCCAGCAAGGCCACACCTCCTAAACCTTCCCAAACAGTGTCACTAACTAGGGACCAAACATTCAAATACTGGAGCCAATGGGGGCACATTCTCATTCAAACCACTACAGTCGAATTTAATCTCACTTTAAAACAAGGCAAAATATTAAAATGCTAGTGACTTCAATGCGTTATGAGCATCTTGCCAATATTTGTTCTTAAATCTCCTTTTTACGGTCCTGGATTCCACAGTTCTCCATGGTTCCCACACCGAGAGTTGCTGCTATGGGGTCTGGGGATTTTGTGGATGACACATCTTCACTCCAGTTGGCCTGGCTGTTCTAGTTTACTTTCTGTTGCTGTGATAAAACATTGACTAAAGCCAGCTTGGGAGCCCAGGGCTCGTAGTACATGCCTTTAATCCCAGCACTCCAGAGGCAGAGGCAGAGGCAGAGGCAGAGGCAGAGGCAGAGGCAGAGACAGACAGATCTCTGAGAGTTTGAGGCCAACCTGGTCTACAGAATGAGTTCCAGGAAAGCCAGGGCTACACAGAGAAACCCTGTCTTGAAAAAAACAAAGCAACAAAAAAAACTTGGATTTGGAGGAAGGATTCATTTCATCCTATAGTCCATCATCAAAGCCAAGGCAGGAGTTTGAAACAGAAACCACAGAGTTGTGCTGCTTACTGACTTGCTCCTCCTAGTTTGTTTGGCTAGCTTTCTTTTGTACAGTGTGCCACCACTCACAGTGGGCTGGACCCTCCTATATCAATTAATAATTAGGAAAATGCTTCATGAACCTGACCACAGGCCATTATGATTGAGACAATCCCCAAATGAGATGCCCTGAGATAACTCTGGGTTGTGTCAAGTTGACCACTGATGCTAACCAGAGACTGGCTCACTGAACAGATTCTGTGCTCAGGGCTTTCAGGAATCAAAGATGGCATCAGATCTCTTCAGAGTCCAGTCTCTGATTGACCAGATTTCAGTTTCAACCATGTCTATCCCAGAAAGCAATTCTGAGTTAACATAGGACTGGATGGCCAGGAAGACCTGGAAGATAGCCACTTCTGAACCTGGCTCTTCAGACTCAGTAGACATTATGTGACTAAATTGCTTATAGCATATGTGTTTATTTCTGTTCTTTGAAGCATTTGAATTATGTATTCTTTCCCAAGCACTGCCTGTCCCCATGGTGTAGATCTGGGAATGCAACCCACAGTGGCAGCGGTGGCTTGCTTTCAGTGACATTTTCTGCTTTGCCTTTTCAGAGTATGATCGGCTGGGCTTTCTCCTGAAGCTCGACTCTAAACTGTAAGTAGAATGGGAAAGTGCTTTGTCTCGGTGTAGACTTTTGTAAGAATTAGGGTCTAGCTTGGAAGGGTCACCCTGTGATCCCTTTAGTTTTGGGGGGACTCCCTGGGGCTCCTTCCTCAGGTTGCAAGCAGAATCTTCAAGCATGTTCCTGTCTACAGGGGCCTGGGCAGGACAGGAAGGCAGGCACAAAGTGAGGCCTGCCATTAGGCTGACACAGGTGACTCGTTACAGAAGGCCGCTGCAGGAGCTTGAGGGGCTGTAGGGCACTGGAATAGCTTTTCCAGCAGAGTAGGAGGTGTTGTTATTTAAGAAAAGCATCGCTCAAGAGAAAGACACCATGTGACAGGGTTCAAGGAGAGAGGTTTTTTTTTATTAGGGAAAGGGATCGTAAAAAGGGGAAAGGGGACGGGGAGACTGGACAGGAGCAGCAGCAAAGAGGAAAGAGGGAGAGAGGGAGGGGAAAGGAGAGAGAGGGGAGGGAGGGAAAGGGGGAGAGAGAGACACACACAGAAAGACAGACATACACACACACAGAGAAAGAGAGAGAAAGAGGGAGGGAGGGAGAGAGAGAGAGAGAGAGAGAGAGAGAGAGAGAGAGAGGTAAACATAGTGAATAGCCAGGTGGTGCTCTTAGTGGCTGCAGCTGAAGGTGTATCCTGTCAGAACCCCAAGGACAGGCCAGTACAGATGCCTGAATACTAACAGGAGGGATGGAGAAACTGTCAAAGATGCCCTCCCACCAGGCAATCCTGTGCTTGTTTCCCACATCTGCCCACTGAGCTGTCTTTCCTCCCAAAGGCCGACCTTTCTGTCTGCCTCTCAGAGGTTTGGTACCTGCACCCAACACTGCTTCTCCTTGCTAGGCCACTTGGAAAACCCCAAGATCACTTACTCTCTAGACCAAATTGTGTCTTCTGCACTTCCTTTGAATTTCTTACCCCTGTTGCCTGCCAATTGTCTGGCTATCCTATAATTAACTCTGTTATTATTATTATTAATTTATTAAGGGCACAGGCTCAGATTCAGGCAAAGCTTGGTTCAAATCCCAGATTGCCACTTACTGAACTTGTAATCTTGGGCAAGCTCTTTAGGGGCTTTGAGCCCATTTCATCTGTAAGATAAAGACAGGATACATACTTTACAGGTTGTTATATGGGTTTAATTGAAGTGGTTAACTCAGGGGCTTTTGAGTACTGGTTACCCAGTTCTCCAGCATTCTTTCCTGGTCTCTCTGGTGCCTAAACAGTATAGGTAATTTTGTTAGGTGTTCAACAAACCCTGAATGGGTAGGTCGTGGGTGGGTAGATAGGCAGATGGATGGATGGGTGGAGTGGGTGGATGGATGAACACAAACCCATTTGACCATCACACTGTGAGTTGGATCTCTGTCTGTTCTGTTTGTTCATGCCCTATACAGGACCACTCCTGTGGTTGATGCCTAGTCTCTTCCGCTGTCAGCCGTCTTGGTGCTACTATGTCCCTAACTGAGATATATATCATGGAAGATAAGAATTGCATCTCCTTCCTTGCTCTTTTGCATAAGGTCTTTTCCACAGCTGCTGTAGATGGTGATTGTCACACCTACATTATGTCATCCATGTGAGGCTTTCCCGTGGAACTGCCTGGCAGCTGCTGGCCCCTTTTCCTGGCATCTAGAGTCTTGGCTCTAGTGCCCCAAGCTACGGGTTCAGGCATTGTAGTTCTCCAGCTTTTAATTGTCACAGAGGCAGCTTCCAGGGAAGAATTGTCTGATCCCTTTTTGCAAGGCAGAGAGACGTTAGGCACATATTAACATCTGGGGTGTGGGGCTTGATAGTGCTAACGAGTTGCAGATCTCCCTCTTAGAAATGTCTTCATTCAGTGCTGTGAACAGAAAAACAAAATAAAACACATCAAGTATAAGCCATAAGCAAGAGAAATGCCACCAGACGAGAAAAGAGGCAGTAATTACCAAGTCAGATGGTAGGGATGAACAAAGGAGATGTGACTGCAGACATACCAATCACAGTGTTTAAGCTGTCTTTGGCAGTGAAGGAGGAGGACACTCCTATCCTGCTGTCTTGCCAGTTGAGCAGTGTGGGATAGATTGCTGTGTAGCTTGCTGCTGTGTACCAGGCCAGTTCCATGAATTGACTGAGGGTTCTTGGACTTTGGCCAAGAAATTGACTTGGACCTGTATTTAACTCACATAGTGAGGGGCAAGCTAGAACCTTCCTGCAGTTTGTTGCACAAGCTGTTCCAGTCCAGTGCTTTCTTCCGAGGGAAACACAGATGTGCTCAGGGAGATGTTTCTAAGTCAAGGATTCTGCTGTGGGGGTGGTCCCTAATTCCGTATTTCCATCTCTCCTTACAGAGCCTCTTCTGGTTGTGTGGTATTCCGTTTCTGATGTATAGGAAGGGACACTGGTGTATGGGAAGGACACTGGTGTATAGGAAGGACACTGGTGTATAGGAAGGACAATGGTGTGTATAAGGGACACGGCATTGATTGGAGCTGGGCCTGAGTTCTGCCTCTGCTCCTTAGTGTCATATAACCTTAAACAGCCCGGTCAAGCTATCCTAGCCCCATTTTTTCCTTATGAAAAGTATAGACTATTTACTTACATTCATTGTAGTTTATGGAGAATAAAAGAAAACATATAATCTAGTATATAAATGGAATGGAAGGATTCCTTTGTGTTTATCATAATTTGGGTTAATTTAGCTTCCTGAATATAAAAATGTCTATGCTCTGTAAGATGTTTTCTCTTTAAATATCGCCTCTACACCATTCTCTACTTTTCCACACTCCCTACTCTCCCAAGTCTCTGTTTGAATTTCAGAGCTTCTGGTCTGTTAACTTCTCTATATTTGCCACTTTTTGACCCTTCCCATGCTAAACCGTAACCACAGAGGACTCTGTGTAAGAATAAACTAGACTTAACCCTGAACCCCCAGGCCAGGATTAAAGGGAGCTTACCCTAGCTCTGAGTGGATTAGGCTAAAAAGTTGGCGAGACAAGAGCACTTGCTGTTCATTGCCAGAGTCTTGCTCGGGTAAGCTAGGAGCTCCCAAGCCCACGTGTAAAATACCCCAGATTTGGCAAGTGCTGCCAAGCACCTGGCAGGAGCACACTCAAACCTTCTCTAGAAAATGATGTGAACTCCTGGCAGATAACCATTGATGGAAACGAGCAGTTCACAGCAGAGATGATGCACAAGGGAACGGCAAGCCATCAACAGCAAGGGCCATGACAAATAGCAGGCGGCGGGAGGAGAAAACCTGCACAGATTTCTCAAGTTGGAATGACCGGTTATAAAACAATTCTGTGTAGCACACAAGATTGAACTACATAGGATTAAGAACTGTAAAATAGGACCCTAGGTTAAAACAAAATAAAGAGCTCCTCTCAGCCAGTAGAGGAGCTTGCTGGTGCGCCTGCTCACCAGAATTCAATCCCTGGAACCCACACGGTGGAAGGAGAGAATTGATTCTGGCAAGCTGTCCTCTGCCTTCCACGCTCAGGCCATAGCACACACCCATTTACCATGACCACCCAATAAGTAAACTTAAAAACAATAATGAATGAGCTACAACTTTAAATCTTAATGGAGTGGGTTAGCTGCAGAGAAACAAATGAAGACAGTTAGTCAGCTGGAGGATAAGCCAGGTAGCAAAAATGCAGAGGTTTAGGAGTGTTCTTTTTTGCCCCTCTCTCCCTCCCTCCTTCCCTTCCTCTGTCTTGGGTATGCATGTGCTGTGTGTGTGCACTGTCTGGAGACCAGAGGGAGATGCCGGGGGACCTGCTCCATTGCTCTCCACCTTTTTCCTTGAGAGGATCAATCTGTCATTGAACCTGAAGCTCAATGCAAAGTCTAGCATTCAGGAAGACAATACTTTTTGGTAGCTAAAAACAAATTGTGGGTGCCAGGCATGGTGGCACAAAGTGATAATCCCTCTATGTGGAAGTCAACGGTAGGAGGAGTCTCCAGTTCCAGGCCAACCTGGGCTACATAGCGGTTGAAGGCCAGCCTAGGATATAAGGAAAGACCCCAGAAAACAAAAGCAGGGCTGGCAGAATGGTTCAGTAAGTAAAGGCACTTGCTACCAAGCTTGCTAACCTCAGTTTGAGCCTCAGGAACCACATGATGGAAAGAGAGAACTGACTCTTGTGAGTTGTCCTCTGACCTCTTCTCAAGTGCCCATACCTATGAATAGTAAATAAACAAAAAATATATATATAACTAAACATTGCAAAATCAAAACAGCAAAAAGAGGCTCTGGAATCAGGCATGGGTTTTAAATGCCCAGGTCTACATCTCACTAGCTCTGACCTTGGGATTTTATGTAGTCACTAAGTATCATATTCCTGTAAGAGTACTGACCCAAGAATGAGATGCAGCCTCCCCTGTATCCTTATTGGGGTCTTTTACCTGCTTACCGGTGGGGAAGACAAACTTCCAAACAAGAACTGTACTCTGCTTGCCTCTGCTTTGTATCTGACTTAATTCGTGCATTCATTCGTTCGTTTAGCAAATACCTCTTGACACCAACTATATGCTCTGTGCATAGGATAAAACCTAAAAGCCTAAGCCATATATATGCATAGCCACGTTAGCATAGTGAACAGAGCAGGAGCAAATGGCAGCATCAGGGTGGTGGCTTTGCCGTGTAGCATAAGCAGTGCGTGTTTTGTTCCTAAAATAAGGGTGGTATTTATACTGATGGTTCGGACACATGATGGACTATGGAGGGCATGCCTGGCATCCTCACTGAGGAGGCTGCAGATATAAGAGTGAAGGCCTCATGGAATGTAATGGAGCCTTAGAGGAAGGAGCAAGGTGAGAGAAAGTTAGGCCAACGAGATTCAGAGAGCAGTGAGTAGAAGATGAGAAAACTATCAAGGACGTCATAGGGAAAGTGAACAAGAGTACGTAAGATGTGAGGCCACAAGGCAGTGCGTGCTTGGCCACAGGTTGCCCAAGAACTGATGCCTCCTGCCCCCAGGGCTGTCCCTCTGGGCCTTAGTGCTCATAGCTACAGCCTACTTTCAGGAGTTCAAGTCTGGTCCCTCAGGAGGCTGTAGGTGGTCTGAAATGGTTCGTTCTGCTATAGCTTGCTTCCCATGTGGGAAGAGCTCAGCCAGCAGGAGAGATCTTGACAAGTTACTGTACAATAAACAAAATGTGTGGGGGCTGGAAATCTGGCTCAATGGTTAAGAGCACTTGCTGCTCTTGCAGAGGTGTGGAGTTCAGTTCTCAGCCCTCACATCTGATGGCTCACAATGGGGTGCAACTCCAGCTTCATGGAATCTAGCCTCCATGGGCACTCACACTCGTAGCTCACACATAAATAATAAAAATAAGTCTTTTTAAATGTTGTTAATAAGTTCCCATGCATACAAAGTAATATGTGCTAGGGAGGAAAACAGTACAGAGGGAAGTTGCTGTGGAGGACACTGCACGTGTAAGAGGGTGATACCAGCCAGACTCCCCAGGAAAGTGATGTTTCAGCAAGGATTGAAAGCGGTGATGTCACACCCAGAACCCTAAGGAAATCTCAGGCTCAGGAATGTGACACCATGAGTCAAGAAGGTGGCTGCCCTGATGGGAGACGGGCCATCTGGACGCCTTGGGAGAACCAGATCCTGGTGCTGGGGTGTGTGGTTTCTGAGCTCCCTTGAACCTTCTGGACACTAATTAGATCAAACTCAGGTTTTATCTCTTTAAGCTGGGCTTGGATAGGTGTGGAAACTGTCTGATGGGCAGTGTCGTGTTTTACAGCTGGTAGCTGTGCAGGTGTATAGAGACTTAAATACTGAAATCTAATTTCATGAAGAATTCCATGTGAAGACAAAGGTATGAAACCAGCAACTTTTAGCTTGAAAGCCAGGCCAGTTGAGAAAAGCCTATGAGCATGGGTCAGTCTGAAGTGCTTGCGGTTGGAGGAGGCTGACTGTGCAGCGCATGCCTGTCTTCCCAGCTACTTGGCTGGCCAAGCCAGGAGGATCACATACATGTTCAAGGCCAACCAGAACTACCTAGTTATTTCTGTCTCAGCAGCAGCAAAACAACAACAACAACAAAAATAAAACAACAAAAAAAACCAAAAAAACAAACAAAATAAAACATGGGAACAAGAAGAGGATGCGAGGGAGAGGGGAGCAGCCAGAGGTAAATTTACTGATTCTAAAACAACCTTGCAAGTTCTGCCTTATGGCTTGCCAGGGGAGGCCTTTTATGCCCAGTGCCATGCTGGATATTCTGTGGTGCCTCTTCCTCATAACAGTCACGTAGATGACTTCATCCGTCTCACCTCATCTGTCTCCTGGCTTTGCCAGTCCTCTGCATGCTGATGGCTCCCACATGTTTTATCAAGCCAAGTCCTTTCCCCCCACACTTCAGAGTCATTGATCCAGATCCTCCTTCCTTGGCTATGTTTTTGGCTTCTCACAGTTCACATATCTAGAACCAAGCTCTCATATTCATAGCCCCGCCTCCCAGAATCTTTCTTAACTTAGAAAATGGCAACTCCATCCTCCCAGTTGCTGAGTGAAAAGCCGATATATCATTTCTTTGACTCTGAAATAGAACCATCAGCCAGCCTGGCTGGCTTTCCCTTACAGCATCCCAGGCCCAGCCTCCCCCTGCCTCCAGACCATCAGCATCCCAGGTCCAGCCTCCCCTTGCCTCCAAGCCATCAGCATCCCAGGCCCAGCCTCCCCCTGCCTCCAGGCCATCAGCATCCCAGGCCCAGCCTCCCCCTGCCTCCAGGCCATCAGCATCCCAGGCCCAGCCTCCTCCTGCCTCCAGACCATCAGCATCCCAGGCCCAGCCTTCTCCTGCCTCTAGGTCATCAGCATCCCAGGCCCAGCCTCCTCCTGC